GGTCGTACGCCGAGGTGCACCGGCGGTAGATCGCCGCGAGGAGGTCCGCGGGGAGCCCTTCGGCGCCCGCCATGCATGGATCTCGATCGACTCTCGTAAGCGGGATTGTGTTTCTTCTGGTCAAACTTGCCCTCAAAGGAGGGCGTGTTGGTTGTGTCTTCGGCACGGGAGTATTACTTGATTAGTAGCTAGGATCATAACAGAGCGCGCACAAAAATGCTAGACTTACGGTCGTCCGTTTACGTAATCATTAGGAAACCTTCCTTCTTGAAACCCTACGTAAATCCCGCACAATGACGTAGGTAAGTGTAGCATTGCTCGAACGCGAGCGGCACGACACCTTTTTTTTGCATCGAAGCTAGAACTTTATTTCAGAATCATTCGGTTACAGTCTGCCCGAAGGCTAACAAGAAGGAAATCGGGGCTCTGCTCTAACTAGCACTCCGTGGCCTCGAGAGAGCAAGCACGTTGTGCACACGAGTGAGCCGGAGTATTGAACTCCCTGCTGACATGATGAACCGAAAAGGAAACAAAATTGAGGACTATATCATCTAGTTCTCGTAAGATAGGCGCGGCTACCGATCGAGAGTTGCCGCGCGAGTTTCAATGGGGCTTGGTGCAAGCCGCTAGAAGGCGTTTCAGAGCGGCACGACACCTGACAAGACGTACTGCGTACATGTTCGTGTGTACTTACGATTTGCAACGTTCTATGCATACCGTATGTGGCACCAGGATCCAAATGTAGCGTATACCGCTCACAACACAAAAAAATTGGTGTATGTTTCTAGAAAGGAAAAGAAAATAATTTGGCACAAATAATTTTGTGGAGTTGGGGTGGGCCAACGCTGGCCAATCCGATGTGGCCGCCACATCCGGACGTGTCCTGACCGCCTCACATATGAGCCAGGTATGCTATTTTTTAGTAGACCTCCTAACCAGCGCCATTTTCGTCAGTTAGGGGAAGCCGCGCTAATGTGTAATGCGCGGTTGGGCCGGCCCATTAAAAGCAATTCTTTATCAATCAATCCCTGGACCGGCCCGGTGCCTCTCTCGAACCCGCTTGCATAGGATGAGAGTTTGAAGTTTTAACCACTGACTGTTTGACCTGTCGACAGTTAACCGTTTGACCCATTGATCGTTGACTTCTCTAAGAATCAGAAAAAATCATGAATTTTAAAAAGTTCATAAATTTTGCAAAGAGTTCATGATTTTAAAAAGTTCAAAAGTTTGAAAAAGTTTCCCAATTATTATAAAGTTCACAAGATATTTTTCATGAATTCGTAAAAGTACACAAAATTTGAAAAAGTTAACGAATTTGAAAAAAACTTTTGTGAATTTGAGAAAGTTCAGCAATTTGAATAAATCCACGAATTTGGAAAGGAAAATAAAAAAGTTTATGAAAATTAAAACAAAACGGGCAGAAACAGAATACAAAAGAACCGGCCACAAAAAAAACGCTAGAAGAACCGCACTATCGCTATAGTCCTAAGTGAGCCAGCCCGTTCGGTCGGAGGTGTGTGCGTTCCATAAGATTTACACTGTTTTCGGTGCTTAAGGTGCCAAATAAGATTCGGGTATTATTGGTCTGGATG